TAATGGAGCTTTGAACAAGAGAGAGAAAGGAATAAAGTATATAGAGAAAGTTACGGATAAAGGCAATAAAAAGGACGAACATCGCGTGTTTTTTTCCTCTAATCTCAGCCATTGATTTTTGTGGACGGTGGAGATTGTATGTTTTCAGTTTTTAATTTAAGCCTTGTTTTTACATGATCCACTCCCTATATATATATATATATATATATATATATATATATATATATATATATATATATATATATATTTTGTTATAAGAGAAATTAAAGTGGTTGGCCTCCTATAATATACACTAGGCATGATTCTAGCAACACCCAACAACCAAAGAGAGAGCGCGCGAATATTCGGTATTACAGTTGAAAATTTATTATATTCTCACTTTCTATATGTAAACCGCAAGCAGTCGTCATTTCCCCACGCCAAATTGTTTAGGACATCATTAGGAGTAAAATATACAAGTAACAGGCAAGGTCTCATATAAAATTTCAATCAAACAAATAAGATTTTCAATAAGGTCTCTCATAAAATTATTTAAATAAAAAAAACTAAGTTAATAAGATCAATAAGGTCTCATGTAATATCTAAAAAAAATTATATGAATCATAATTACTACGTAGTATTTTTATGCTCTAGGTTGTAATCTATTGACCTGATTTTTTCGTATCTAAACTTAATTGGACTTACTAGACCTATTAAAACTTATTTTATTTAATTTGTAATTTTAAGTTAGATAAGCCTTATTAGAATTTATTTTTTCTTAATGAATTCAAACTTATCTAAATTTATTAAACTAGAAATAATTAAAATAAGGTGAACAAGGTTATTCAACTTGATATGCAAAGGAGATACGACGTACACCCAGAACTAATCCCCGAATAATCCGGATTAGCCCAGAGAATAAACTGGGTGGAACAGCAAAAAAAAGAGAATACAACGTACAATCTTTATTAGATTATTAAATATGCGTAAACATACTATCATGTGATTATTTGTTATTTTAGGGCTTGGCCCACTTATGCATAAAAAAATGTGATTATTTGTTATATTTATATGTAATATTACAAGTTTGTCTTTTATTTTGGAAAGAATATACTCCTAGATTCCTAACTCTATAGTATTGCTAATATTAAAAATATATTATTTTGATCAGCTTGTCTTGTGTGTGGCTAGTCACATCGTGTGACCACTTATAAAATAACAAAATAACCTTATATCACTGACTAAGTAATCCCTGTAGTACTGATCGAGTAACCCCTTTAACACTGACCGAGTAACCATATAAAATATAATATTGACCAACTAATTCCTTTAACACTGACCGAGTAACCCTTATAATACTAACGAATTTGTGTAATTTGATTGGACACCGTTGCATAATCATCCCTAATAGCCAGTCAATCTCCAACCGACCTTCCGAAAAAGTCACATTCAACAACCATATTTTATGGGATTCCAATTTGTAACCCTTTTTCACTTCCTATAAATAAGTCTCAAATTACACCAACAAAATTAGTTAGTTGTATTTTCCAAGACTAGATTTCCATCTTTAGAGTTTTCCTCATTTTTTAACATTTCTCAACCATTCAAACAAACAAACAAACAAAAATAAACCTACCATTCTCAAATCTTATTTCCCTTCATAAAAAATATACGTAGTATTTCCAAATTTAAATGGCTGGTCTTCAATACAGATTCTTCCCTACTGATTTCTTCGTGCCAACTTTCGAGCCTACCATTGTTGATTCATCTCCGAAAGCGATGTCATCCTTGATCAACTCCAACCATCGAATCAAAGACGATGATTCAAGTGAATTGTCTAAGAATAAGGATATCAAATTCAATAACAAGAAGTTTGCTAAGCTTTCTACGGATTCACCTCAACGGTCCATTACACCTGTGACTAAGAAAGAATAGATTTTTATTCGCAGGTTTTATTTTTAATGGTTGTTTTTAATCTTGTAATGATTGGAGTTTATATTATCATATTATGAGTATTAGCTATTAATCAAGAGGCTTTAAAAAAGTTAATATTGAACAAACCTTAAATAATCAAGGTTATTGTTGCATTAATACATCTAACTTAGTATTATCATGGTTTAATATGGCAATAGTTTGAATGTATGATATGATAATAATTAAAAAAACAAAAAAAAAAATGAGAGAGAAAAAATAGGAACTTGATTTGTACTTGTAAATTAATTTGTTGCAATTTTTGTACAAATCAATGAGTGGATTTGCAATGAAATATACAAGTATTTACATGGAGAAATTTTCTAGATTGTGGTGTTTTATTAATTTCTGTCCAATTACACAATTTGAATTTTCTTTGATGATTCAATTTTGATTAGATCATTGTACTACCCTTTATCTAGTTTATAACAGAGATCATTTATTTAAAAAATTAAAAGATACTATTTATCTATAATAAAGTGATCAAATTTCTTCTATTGTTTTTCTTTATATACTCTTTTATATTTTGTTCTTGATTTATTAGGGAATAGAAAAAAGCTTTGATTGAAGATTACAAAATTTCAATTTAACAAAGAAAATTCTTCTTCTTCTTCTTCTTCTTCTTCTTCTTCTTCTTCTTCTTCTTCTTCTTCTTCTTCTTCTTCTTCTTCTTCTTCTTCTTTCTTCTTCTTCTTCTTCTTCTTCTTCTTCTTCTTCTTCTTCTTCTTCTTCTTCTTCTTCTTCTTCTTCTTTGGTTTCTAAGCATGTCAAGGGTTTTGACTTTCGAGTGTCATTAACGGATTCCAATGTTCAATCAACTTACGGTTGTACCTTATACGATCTAGAATATTATACAAATAATTATTAGTTATCGAATCAATTTAATAGACACATACATATTCAGAAAGATCTTAATGCACTAAATTTAGTCATTTATGTGCAAATTCTTATTTGTTCTCGGGTAAACCTAGAGATATTGATACTTACCCATGTTTATTAATTTGCTCATCTTATTAGTTTAACTCATTTAAATAAGAAAAATTTGGTCATCTTATTAGTTTAACTCATTTAGATAAAAAAAACCCTTAAATACATCTAAAACATGTGCGGAAATAATGTACTCCCGTTCTTTTCACTCATAGACACAAAAACCTTTCTTTTCCTCTATGTTGTATACCATTTATATTCATCTTCTGTTATCCCTACAAAGGATTATTTTATGTAATTCCAAGTTCCAAATTTTCAAACTTGTACTATAAAAATAAAGCCGCCATCCTAGACCACTTCTTTGGAATTTCGAATAATAAAAATTGAATTAATAAATGGATATGCTAGCTCATTCTATATTCTAAGAAGAAACTAAACTTTCACACATTTTTTTTTTCTGTTAGTTTAATATTATAGTGGTATAAATTAGTCAATTATGCGAATTTTATGCTTGTAGCATTTAAATAAGGACGAATCATTCGGTTTTGAAATGTTCACATGTTTTTGTAAACTAATTTTTTTTCTAGATGTGGTTGCCTCCAACTTGATAATACTCTCCGGCCCAAAAGCATCCAAGCCCAGCCCAATCAATAGTCCTATAAAAGCTTATTTCTAGAAACAGAGTAATGGCTAAACCCAAGGTATCAACCATTTTGGATCCATAACCACCCATTGATCCAACAGACCTAGACCAAGCTAGTCGGCTAATATTATGGATCCAGCAACCGGGAATGATGTCGCACATGCTTGCTACACAACATTTAACTGTTACACACTGTTAAAATGTGGTGATATACGTGCAATAACTGTGTTGTATGTTTATACATATTCGATACTCTCAAATTTACCATACTTCAAGCCTATTCTGATTGACTAAACTGAGTTAAACTGAACTGAACTTATTGGAGTTGAAGCGAATTGCACTGAACTGAATATTTTGTGAGAGAAGGAAATAAAAAACTGAACTGAACTTATTGGAACTAAACTGAATATAATTTGAAGAGAACAGACCCTTTGTATAATTAAAATAATTTGCAGGCAATCATAAGACCGTAATCCAATGAAGAAAAAAAAAGTTAATTACAACTATACTAGTTTAAATGACATCAGAATTTGCCTAATGACCAAAGACAATAGTTTTGTCAATATGGGTCCAGGGTTTTAGACTTTGACTATATCGTGATTCCTGATTAATTAGTAATGAAGTTAGGACTATAACTAGAGATGGCAATGGATATGGTCTAGCAATACTCGGACCGGTACCCGAATTTTTTTTTTTTATCCATATCCATACTCTACCTAGATCTTTAGAGTCTAAAATTTTTAGACCCTTATCTGGAGTTCTGGACCCTATGGGTCTGGGTAGGATCCAAGGTCCAATCAAGGTCCTTTACCTTAATTATTAATTAAAGTCAACCTATTCAAATAATGATATATATACACTATGCCTTTCATACTTTGTATTTTTTTTTTATTTATAAGAATGTTGATTATTTTGCCAAATATAGAGTATTCCATATATAAAACAATTTTGTATTTCAACTATCAGCTCAAGTTTTTGTTTGAATTGAATCTCTAACATAATATCAAAAGCTAGTGTGGCAAAAAGTCAAGGTTTCAAATTTCATCCACCTCTACTTTCAAATGAATATTAAGCGCTAGATATGAACACTAATTAAAAAAAAAAAATATATGGCTAGTTTATTCATTCAGTTTACTTATTTTGAGAAAATTTTTATGTCATCCTAGCCTAATTTTCAAGTTTATTACTTCTTGTTAAAATGGCTGATAATATAATATGGTCCTAGCTATAGCAATATTTGCTGAGTCATCATATCATAATAAAAATTCACATAAAATATGGTCCTATACCAACACTATTTGCGAGAGCAATGAACCTAAACCATGTTTTCACATACTATCACTATCAAAGATCAAATGACATCCATATATTGCATCAAATTATATTATATTGTACTATTATATTATGTTATCAATAACAATATTTTTAGTATTACAAAAGAGAAATATGAGAAAGACAGAGAGAAATCACACGTACGTATTATAATGGTAATTATGTGCACCTAAGTTGTAAGATTTATACCATATCAAAGACCAAATGACATCCATATGTTGCACCAGATTATATTATATTGTATTATATCATATTATGAAAAACAATATTTTGGTATTACAAAAGAGAAATTGATTTGAGAAAGACGAAAGCACGTATTAAAACGTTAAATACACAAAAGTTGTAAGGATTGGTATTAACTATTAAGAATTATAAAAAGTTAAAGATTAAGGGCATTTGGGACCACCCCTCTTGGTCTTCCAATTGTTGTAGCAAGGGCAAGATTGCTTGTTGCCATAAGTACCAGTAGGAACACACAAACACTTTGCACAACATTTGTTACAGAAAAACAAACATGGCTTCTTGTATTGCGTATTTGAACACCTATATGAGCATCTCGGTCCACATTCTGTTCCAAACAACAAACAACAAATTATGAGTTACTAGTACTACTACTCTATCTATTCGCGGAATTCAATGAATTTTTTTTCGTTTTTATTACCAATACTATAAGTGCTAATTTATAAACCATGTTCAATATGCCTCTATTTTTTTTTTTAAAAAAAAAAATATTAATATTGATCAAGAATCACTTTTTGTGACTAGTGAATCAGTGGAAGTAAGTTTTGATGCAATCAATGAAAGTTATGAATTTATGATAAGAATTAAGAATTATAATAATTTCGATATGGTCACTAAAAATAATCAAGCGAATAACTAAATTAATCACAAGACAAGCAAAATGCATGCACGAAACATATGGACATATGGTTAAGCTTAGTAAAATAGATGTACCTTGAGGCTGCAGGCTTCCTGGGGTGTATCCATACTGAAATTACATCAAAATTCGTAAGTTAAAACCTCGTATAAGTCAATCCAACAATATATATAATGTGGGTTTTTCGATACGTTAAAAATAATTATTTACTGCGTTATATAAATAAAAAAACTAATAATAATAAAAAAAAAAAAAAAACTTTCCCACCACTTTTTATTCAATAATTCAATAAAAGTGGCAGTAAGTTGTCTTACCGAAGGCAGATTGTTAGTAATGTTTGAGGATTGTGGGCTTGGACTTGGAGCAACGTCATGAGTATGGGTTGGCTGCATCAATAACATAATCAATGAGTCTCATTACCACTTACTAGCTTACAAAAATATGTGACAAATTATTATTATTTTTTTGATAATTAATTTCAGTTATTAAATAGATAGTATGAATTACAAGAATATCTTGCATTAACGAGAACAATTAATTATCAATGCATACGAAAAAATTTCACTAGGACAATAAAACTCTCAACATTGTTAAAATTTCACTAATTAATTGACGATGAGATTAAAGAGAAGTATATTGGCACTTACATGATTTTCTGCGGGAGAAAAATGGAGGAACATAACAAAGATGAAAATGGTACACAAAAGCTTCATTGCCATTTCTTTTTTTTTTTTTTTAATTCCAACACAAATAAATGTGTTTATCTCTAAATTAAAAGTAGTAGAAAAAGAAAGAGCAACAAAATAAGAGAGAGAGAGAAAAAAGTGAGGTGATAAATAAAAATGAGAGTGATAGAGTTTGGTGGTTACTAACTATATTTGGAAGGTATTTATAGGCAGTTGTGACCGGTATTTTTACTATTTTAAAATATATTTTCTTTTTTGAAAAACAAAATCAATTGAAGAAAGGTTAATTAGTTGAAATATGGGACCAAAATAACCTATACAAAGTGGACAAATTACATTTATGGGTTTATGGCAGAGTGTTGAGAAGGAACGAATATTGTCCACTCTCTATAATCAAGGAAATTATCACTTCATCAGCAACAAATATAACGAAAACGTTAAATTTGAAAATTCAATCTGCATCTGATAAACTCCGATTTCTTTTTAAGTTGGTTGGAAGTTGGGTTAATTTATCAAAAATAATACTTCCTCCGTTTATTTATAGTTGCAACACACACTTTATCACGCTATTTAAGAAAAATGGACCTCACATGATATAATACACTTAAAATGAGGTTAAAAGGTTGTTAAGAGTATAATCAAGTGGGCCATATGTTTTATATAAAGGTAATAGTACAATTTTCACCATAAAAATCTTTTTTTTTATAGTGTGGAACTGTGTTACAACTATTGTGACATTTCAGTGTTGCAACTATACAAAAACGGAGGAAGTAATAATAATAATACTTTTTTTTTAAAGAAATAATAATACTTTTTTAAACAAGAGAAACATTTGATATTCTCTTTTCTTTATTTTTTTCTTTTGATTTTTATAAATTACATATTCAACTTTAAAAATTTATGGGCTTAATAAGATGTTTTGATAGTCTTCTACATTCCTATCAAGAATAATATTGAGATAAATATGTGCATATATACAATATATTTTCTAACTCACCAACTTTGTTATTAGCATCACCGCATCAATGTGTAACATTTCCCATAGTTGATGAAACGAAAACAATATTCAATGATCGATTATTTAATCAATTTTGTAATTTTTCTTAGATTAGCAACAATAAATTATTAATAGTGCAACAAATAAACTAAGTTACTTTAAAGATCAAACAATCTAATTAACCACTCAATAATCAACTATAGCATATGGTCAAGGAGCTAAATCAGTACAAAGTATATAAAATTTAAAGAGATTTGTCGGTAGACACTTAGTTATACTAGTTGTGTATATGTACTAATTTTGGTAAGCATATGAGTATATTCAACAACAGCCGTGCACATTAATACAAATTTGTCATTTATCTTCTAATAATTTCGGATTTTAGTAGAAGTTTATACATTTATCTCCTTTATTTATCAATACTAATCTAATAAATTTTATTTTATTGAAAAATAAATCTAATAATTTTATCAATAAACCTAACAACATGGGTTTGAAGAAGAAGGATCACATGCAATATATAATAACAAGTAGGGTTCACATCCCTCAATCAAAGGGATCACATGAGATGTAATTCAAGGAAATTACCAATGACATAATTCACATGCAATTTGTCTTAGCTTAGACAAGATTCATCATGCATTTTCATCCTATATATAAATATAATTAAATATAGCTAAATATATAATTCAATGTACGAATCTAACTATTTTTTGCCCTTTCTAGACTTACACGTAGCACCATACATAACATTTTTCCAATTTTTTAATTGGTTCTGTCTACTTTATATTTTAAATTTTTAATTACTTCCAAATCTATGTCATCCTTCGTTGTCAAAAATATTGAAGAAATAGTGTATGAATTTATGAGTCTCAATTATGAATTTCAATCGGATCGAAAATTGTATATCTCCCAAGTCCTTTCTTCACGGGTGATACAGAAAATCCATGTTACTTTGCACATAAGCTTCAAGATGTGGTAGATTTAATATTAAAATAAGCAAAAAGATTAGCCACTTGGCCCACAAATAATATGAATAGGGACGTAATCCATTATACTTCGTATATCCTTGCTCATCAGTGGGATACCGGATACTCCTTTTGTTTCAGAAATAAAATGTAAGGATTGAGGAGTAATACTTTGCATGTGTACAATACTTATTTGAAGTCATTTGTCTAATTACTATTTTTAGTTACTAATATCAATTAACAATATTTTTAGAGAAAGGAGTTGGGAGTATATACAATTGAAAAAAAAATGGAGTATGTTGTAGTATTGTGAAACTTGTAAAAAAGGTAAGCGTTGCAATAATAAAGCAACATTAAAGCAACGTAGAAAGTATAGAGTATACTCCGTATAACTTTAATGGCCCTTAGGTAAATATTTCTCATTTGTTTTCATACACTACTTATTCAAATAATCATTATTACATGAATTTTCACAAATACAGGATTAAAATGCAAGTCTAAGGGCCCGTTTTTTTTCAACTTAAGCTCCAATTCAGCTTCTAATCTCATTATTCTCTCATAAACAATTTATTTCAGTTCAGTTCAGCTCCAATCAGTTCAATTTAATTCAGCTCCAATCATTTCAATAAATCAGAACATACCTTAAATTAATAGAAGATGAAAATAAGTAACTTAAAAAAAGTTACTAAATGTACTTCCGCAATACATATACAATTTCGTATCACTTATTTTTATATATATACTATCCTTCATTTTTTTTTCCTTACTCATTTAATACATTGATCTATTCAATATTAATTCGCTATTGACCGGTTTTAATCCAACCCATTTTTAGAAGTGATCATCTTTTGACCCGACTTGCTCAAATATTGTACATTGACATGTTAGGGTTAACAAAGAACGGACAATAGATAAGAAAATACGGAGTAAAAGTTAAAAAAATTAGCATGCCGGCATCGGCGGCATGGGAAATGGGATGGACAAGAATCAAGATAAGTATTACCTAGGCTTAAATTAGCAACTAATCTTAAATACTTATACTATGACATGTAACATCCAAATAACGCTTTTCAACTTGTTGTGCATGTGAGTTAGGATGTACGTATCGTAAATTACATTAATGGCTTTATTGCATGCATGTGCTTTCAATATATACATGACATATTGCACATCATTAAGCCTCGTCTATGGCCCACTCTTCCAACATAATAGCAACGCAAATTATTTTAATGGATCTATATGCAAAAAATTTATTTACATAAATAAATTATTTAAACAAAGTTTATGTTTATTTTACGGAGTACATTCTATCTTGATAGGAAGTAATAATTTAGGGTACTTTTATACTACACTTTTTTAGTTTTTACACACATATAAAATAGTTTTTCAGGTGTTCATGCATCGTCTGTGATCGTGGGATCAATTCAATTGAGACCAACAAGAAATAGGTTAAATGTTTTATTATTTTAGCTATGTGTAACTAAGAATTGACAATACAGCTAATATATACTACCTCTGTTAAATGTTATATGCAACTTTGGAATATTTTATATCTCACAAATAATACCCCAAAGTTGCACATAACAATTAACGGAGGTAGTATAAGTGTTGATGTAATTACATGTCAAATTATATGAAAAAATATATTATTTATGTCATATTGTAATGTATGTGAACCATATCAATTAGTCTCTTGTACTCCTATAATAAACTAAGAATTTTATTTATTACATACAAAAAAAAAAAAAATTGTTTATGTACTACATCCGTTAATACAAAGTACGAAGTAATAATTTAGGCATCTTATACTCTACATTAATTTACTTTCTACGTAAATATATGGTAGTTTTGAGGGTGCGTGCTTCGTTTGTGATTGTGGGATTGATTTTAATCTGAACCAAAATAAGTCCGTTAAATGTGTTATTATTGTAACTATGTTCAATTGAGAACAACAATGCAACTAATGCAACTAATATAAGTGTTGATGTAATTACATAAGTACGTTAAATGTGTCATATTGTAATGTGATCAACTCTAGTGTCTAATGTATTAAACTAAGGAAGTAAGGAGTACAAAGAATACATGCATGCAGTGTTAATCACAAGATTAAGAAAAAGGTGTGGTTGAAATTACATGCAATCTATCTATATTATTATCCCGTGATACCTAGCTACATGCGCTTTGGAGCTATTGCTTCTTCGGCTTTATATGCTAAGATTTTGTAAGTATCTCTTCTTGTGAATTATGAGAATGCGTGAGAAGAATCAAGAATAAAGAAGATTTATCAATAAATTTCAACTACAATTTTTGCACCAGATAACCGTTGAGGTTAGACTTATTAAATTAGATTGTTTTCGAGTTGGATAAATTTAGATCAGATATAATCTAAGTCCGAATTTCAATACCTTTTATAGTTACTATACATACACCATATATTAGTTAGTTTATTGGAGTTATATTCTTTGGATTACCTGTTCAAGACTCAAAATTTAATCAAGTATAGTATTTCCAAAAAAAATTGTGCTCAAGCTTTCACACAACACAACTATTCTCCTTATATCTTAAGGTTTTTTTTTTTTTTTTTTTTTCTCACTACAGTGAGTGACTTGATTAGGAACGGTGATGCGCGTAGTATTTGTAAAATTTATTTAGTGAAGAAAAATTAAAGTCATGAGGAAGAAGTGATGTCAATCACAAACATTTAAAAAAATATCTTAAATTGATATAAAATCCTATTTGTAATACTATCTTGTTAAGTCGTCATTATTTTTAAAAGTTACGTGTCTTTGTTTTAAACACTATACAAGTATACAATTTTCAAAATTTCTACCAAAATTACACTAATTAAATTATACGGAGAACATAATTTTATATATACAATAATTTTTTTGCCAATAATCTACCAATTATTAAGTTAGCATGCTTACCCTTATCGTACAAGATAGGTAATTTGCAACTTGATTAAGTAGTTTATTTTGTTCAGGTAGCTGACAATATGTCCTTTAGTCTAAACATGCATACCATATCGATTCCACTATTTTTATTCATGTGTTGCCTTTTATTATGTCTTTGTCTAAAGTCTATATCCTACTTTATAGGAGTACAAATTTCACCACTAAATCTATAATGAAAATGACCAAAGGCCACAAAATTTTCATTACTCTAATAAGCAAAAATCAAAATCTCACCACTAATTTAAATCAACTTTTACAAAAAAAAAAAAAAAAAATAAATAAAAAAATAAATTAAATAAATAAATATCATAAAGAAAAAGACCAAAGGCTATGGAATTTTTATTACTTGAATAAGCAAAAAACAGTGAAAATTACATCGTGAACTTTAAAATGAACATCCTTCCAAGGTGGATTAAAATTCCACCGTACTCTAACAAATTAAGTGAATGGATAGATTAAAGTTAAGTTATATAGCAGTACATATTAACACAAATCTATTAGAAGGTTAGAATTAGTTGTGATATACATGAGATTAAATGAACAATCATCGTACATATAATCACAACTATATTGTTATGAGCACGCATCTATGGCTATTAGTTGGTTCTCAGTACATGAATATTGATGGTAAGCAAAAATTGAAGGATGAATTTAAGTGGTTTCTGCCTGATCTGAGTATGGGTTCACTACTGATTTCTATAACAATAGTTTTATGCGGCTTCATGGGTATAGCTAATTTCTGGATCCGCCACTGGCCCTATAAGAGTTGTTCATTAAGGCTGAGATTATTATTTAAGTAACAATACTTCCTCCAGAAAGGAAAGATCTATGTTATGAGCTGAGCTTTAATCGTGTGGTTCTTGTAGCTAGCAGGGCAACTAATATATAACTCAGAACATAATCCGATCTAGTCTGAACTTTCTCAAAAACTCGAGCTATAGCAGCATTCATTCACATCATTTAAAACATTATTATCCTATACCACCAGTGAAATAATATCGATATTGTTAGAAACATTAAGAGACGGATGTGGAGATTTTAACAAACAAAGTGGTAATCCCAGTCTAAATTATTTGTTCAGTTACGAAAAACAAATTCTTTGAGTACAAAAAGAGCACTTTGATCATTGCAATTTAGAGGAGTTAGGGTGATGCCTGTAGTTACAAATTCAGCTCGTGCAATGATCCGATACGCTGAGTTGATTGAAATACTTATTACCAGGGTCGTAAGGGAGATCACAACACTGTATTTTGGCCTAAATATGTCTTTAGTTTCTCCAAGGCTTAAGAGACCACATTATGATCGAAAAAAATGACTTCAAAAGCTTCTAGTGAAATTACCATTCATTCTGAAGCCAAGTTTTCGACATGTCTTCAGGGCTGAAGGGGAAGTCTTGATGCAATTGCCACCAAAGTATACGAGGTTTATGACACGGGTACTTACATGTTTATTTTTCTGAACATTATTGTTTAATTGAGGTGCATCAGGAGGTTCTGTTTTGACAGTATGCTCACCCTTTGTGTTTGCTGTCAATTTCCTTAGTATCCCACGTAGCAAAATTGCAAAAGGCACAAAAGTAGCTGTAATTTCATAACATCCTTGACTAAATTTTCTTGTACTCTAACCAAGTATGCCATGTACACAACACAAATACTACTACTAAACATTAGATTGCCAGAGGAAAATGACTAAAGAAATTCCATGAGCTGAAAGAAGATAAACCAATAAGATTTATCAGTAGGTGTTCATCAAGCCCTGAAGATTAGCAACTTGACTGATTTCAGATTAACCGTGCTCATAATGAATGCAAAAACATTACAGTGCATACTTGTAGTTAATACAGTAAAAGTCACCCAACTTCAACAAAAATTTCTTAAAGAAAGGGAAGAATACCAGATTCTTTGTACTAGTACAAATCATAAATGAAGTAAGATATTTTGGTTTTTTCGACGCAATTACATTCAAGAGAAATATGTAAGAAATATATATGCATAACATAGGTAGAGTTACCGCTTTCCATTGGTTAGGGTGATGAGTTGACCTTGACAGGTGATAGAATGCAGGAGTAGTGTTATTGTTTGGGACTCGTCTGCTGGTTGCTTCTATGAGGTTGGATTTCCTCTGCTGGTTGCTTAGATGCTAATTTTCTACATCTCCCATGATTCCTAGGTAGAGGCCGACCTCTCTCAGCAATCAAATCTTCATAGGTTGCGACTAGCTTCACCTTCATCCATGAAACTTGACAATGAAAAAGATACATGAGAGATTTAAACACAAACACGGGTTTCACGACCAAATTCTTAATGCTCTTCCAAACATTGCCAATCCATCGATTGTGACCGGCTTCACTTTCATCCTCCCAAACACCAAACTGTGGCACCTTAAGTTTGGTAAGAATGAGAGTAATATTATTAGCAATCTAACACAGTACAAATAAATGGCAATAATAATGGTCAACCTATACTTTCTAACCTTAGCATTTGGCTAGGGTGATCAGTTGAGGATGCAGGAGTGTCATAATTTGGGACTCGTCCAATGTTTGACTGGCATAATTATAAGAGGGAGAAAAAGAAATTAAGCAAGCACTACATACAATTTTGATGTGAATGGCAAAAACCGATGAGATTTGTGTGACACAAAAGTGAGGTTACAAAACCTGCATAACGTTGGATTTCAAATGATTAATTGTTAATCTTGTACCTCCCCCATAATCCCTATCTAGAGCCTGACCTCTTTCACCAATCAAATCCTCGTCCAGTACAGGAAACCTTGCACAATCGTACAGGAAATCTTGTACACCACATGACTTGAATTCAACGAATACCAATTGGGGCACTTTCTTGGGTTCCTCTTTCTTGGGTTTCTTTTTCTAAATGATTCACAATTGAAGGAATTAGCCACATATATTGTTTCTCAAAGTCATTTTCGTGAATAAATCAACAACTTTTTCATTAGTATAAGCTCCACAACAATAATGAAAAAATTAAATAAAGTTTTTTATTTACAAAAATGCCACATTGGGCATCCCCAGAAATAATTTGGAAAATTAAAAAATCTAATTTATATATATAAATAAAGTAGGCATTTTTCGGGAGCATTTGGCGCGCCACATAAGAAAAGGTATTATTTTGTCCAATGAAAAATTAGATTAATAATTTATTTTAGAATTAAAAAATTTACTCGCCACCTAAGCAAAAGTGACGAATAATATTTAAGAATTTTGACACATACGTAAAAACAACGAATAGAGAATAATTAAAATTTAAATTATTTTAAAAAAAACCAATAATTATCTTCTCTTAAAAAAAAAAAAAAAAAAAAAAAAACTAAGTAATAATTATCTATATGGATGCAAATTTTTTATCGCAAATATTTTTAATCTTTTCCTAGCAAATATTATAAAATTTTGATTTTAATAATGTACCCATCGAGACAAATAAAACTAAATCTCACATGACTAATTTCCCATAATTTTTAATAGTTAAACAATATAAATGAGATTACCATTTTAAAAAGAACGAGTATATTACATAAACACATAGGCAAAAAACTTATTTTGATCAATAAAAAAAAACTAGATTTGTCATTTATTTTATGAATTAAAAATTTAAATTGTCACATAAGCAAAATTAGTGAATAAGTTTTGAGATTTTAAATTCAAGTGTCACATAAAATTAATAAAACAACAAAATATAACTTTAGTGTTAAAATTAAAAAATTATCTTATAATATTAGAAATTTTATCCATATATTTAATGAATGATATTCATAAATATACAAAATTTTAAATTAAATAAAATAATTTATTAGAACCGTGCATCGCACGGGCTTACATCTAGTAAGATAGTAAAAGAGGCAACGATTTAAAAGGTGGAAAAATACTTCATTTGAAGATTATAAAAACCCACTTAAAGCAACGAGAATAATTGTATTGATTCTCTGAAGCACAACGAGAATATAGTTGTGGATTCCCTTGCAATTTAACTTTCTAAGCTAACTCAAAACACTAATCAATATTCATCATCCTAATCCCTTAATTTTCTTATTTACAAAATTTTTTTCTTAACAAACTCCCTAACTTAATCACAATGCTAGCTATAACAAACTAAGGAGACTGCCTTAAAAATCTAAAATGCATCTCCCCTTACATCAGTCCAATCTATACTCATGGCGAAACAAAGAAATCTAATATCAACTCACTAAACAAATATAGAGCAACAGTTACCTTCCATTCTTCGCTGACCGGTGATTGAGGCGTTTCATCTTCTTTCAGATGTTGAGATGACTCATTGCTCGGATTTACAGGTGTTTCAGAACCAGCCATTGAGGAGATATATATAGCAGATCTGTTAGAAATATGAGATATCGGAAAAATATATATGTGTGATTTCTAACAAGATCTCCAACTTTACTCACCTCAACTCACTCTTACAAACTTACAGGATCCTTTTGCAGGGCTGCTAAATTAGTATATATACGATTTACGTTTCTCAGACTAAACTTAGCTCTTAAGTCTAAGGGTAGCCTTAAGGGTGAACAAAAAAATAGTTCACAATGAGTGAACAAGTGAATGGGTGGCTTAATGGTGATCTCTATAATTGTTCATAGTGAATGGTTGTGGGATCGATTGCTGCTGCAAGCATTTGGACGAATTTATGGATTGTGGGCCCCACCCATTTTTATTTTTTTTTCAGCAAAAAAAATAGAAAGCAGCGGCTCCCAGCCGCTGCTTGACACGTGTCACTGTTTTAAATAAATCCGTTGTAATTTTGCAACGGATATATTTTACAAAACACAAATAAAAAAATAAAAAAATTACCAACGGCTCTATTTTTTTCCCCTCTATAAATAGACACCCATATTGCTATACTTTCTTCAACTTTGAAAATCCATTTCTTTCTACTATATATTTCTCTTCAAAAATCCCCTCTATAATTACCAATATTATTATTATTAATATTAATATTATTATTATTATTATTAATATTATTATTATTATCATCGTTATTATTATCATTTTTATTATTATTATCGTTATTATTATTATTTCCTTTATTATTATTATCGTTATTATTATTATTATTTTTATTATTATTGTCGTTATTATTATTATTATTAAATTTTTATTTTTTCCAAATATAAATTATAATTATGGATGCTAATACCAACCCCAAAACAAATAGAAAGAAGAAAAAAATATTTGGGTCAAAATATGATCCTTCAAGCTCGTTTTGCCATTATTAAAAAGCCGTCTTTGGCGTGGGATACCGACATACTCCACAATATCATGCTCGCCTGCATCATAATACATAATATGATCGTTGAAGATGAACGAGAGACGTATCAAAATAACGTTAATACCAATGAGTTTATGAATGCTGGAGGCAACGCTAATGAGGACACTACCGAGTACCGTACTGATCGTATTGTGGATATCGGCTTATACTTGTCTCGTAGAACAGAGATTGAGGATCAACAGACTCATTTGCAGCTAAAAAACGACTTGGTCGAACATATATGGAATAAATTTGGTAACAACGAAAACTTAGGCAACTAGGTTTACAACAAATGGTTATCCCTAAGGACATCTTACAAAACGATGTGTAGTTGTTTTTTTTTTTTAAATAAAATGTACTAGATTATAGTTGTAGAACTGTAATCACGATTTGTACCTCTTTTTTTTTTTTTAATTAAAATTAGTTGCGTTGTTGTTTAAAAAATATTAATCACAAGAATTAGTTTTTTAAAAAGCTGATAAAAAAATGCGATAATTTCTTAATTAGTAATCACGATTAAAATATTAAATACGTCAATTAATTACATTGACATCGGGTTAATAAATTATAATTATGAAACAAAAAAGATTATATTTACAAAAATAAAATAAGGTGGGGTAGGGAGTATTGATGATGAACCATTGTTTAGTGTTCATTGTTAAGAGTGAATATTGTAAATGGTTTGTTGAGTTGATGTGGATGAGAGAGAAATGGTGATAGTGACCCATGAACCATTTATTTGGGTTCACCAATAAAGATGCTCTAAAAGAAAGAGATCTGAAATATCCAGGTCCAACAGTAAACTTACTCAAATACTCAGTATTTGCCTCATATATTTCATGTCTTTTTAAAAAGTGAAACGACTACAGTAACAAAAAGCGTTCACTTTAATGAAGCGCAATTAGCCCCACACGGAAACAGCAAAGAAAATTCAGATATAATGTAGTTTAATCACATACTGTTACATGATTCACATGAAATAAACATTCCTGTAATATTTTTCAGACATTATTTGCTTATGTTGGTTGATCTTCACTAAAGATTGAAAAGCAGCAACCACTAGAAAAATGAATTCTCAAGAACACATAGAGTGGGTTATATCCATACAGGAAAAACTCAATGAGGCACAACAATTTATTACAAGAAAATCATGGGAGAAGTGTTGCATATATCGAATGCCTCGTCGTATAAGAGATGCCCAAACAAGAAAGTTGGTGGAGCCCGACGTCTTTCTTCAATCAACTTCTCGTCCACTACAGGAAAACTTGCTTGAAGTATTATTAAATCCTGGGGTTTCTTATCTTCCACCTTGGAATAAAATGTCCTACTCCATTTTTGCTTAGATTCCTCTTTCTTGGATTCACGCTGACGACTACCATTGCATTGATAAGGTTCTGACGTGATCTGTTAAGTAAATGATTGAGAATTCAAGTAATTAGAAAAGAACAATTTGAAAAATTAAGATAGTAAAAGAGGCAACAATAAGTGATCTCTTTGATGATTATAAAATGTTAAGAAAATAATGCAAATTTTCTGTTTAATCAAATTTGAGGGAGAAATAAATTACATAAACAAAATGTCTATTTATACCAAAGTGCAAAAAACACAGCCCCTCTTTTCTCTGAGTTATTTTTCTTCTCTCAGATTTTCTCTTGAAATTATTACATACAAATGAAGGAAATGCTCAATTTATAGTTTTCCTAAAACAACCTAAGCCATTTAAAATTTAGCCTGCAATATTTATTACCATTAGTTATTTTTCCCTATATTTGGAAACACCTTTAATTTTCAATGGTAATGCATGGTTATTTAATAACCATTTATTTTTTTTCTTTATGTTTCTTAATTATCTGCCAACAATCTCCCACTTGAAGACTGATTTCAATTTGTCTTCACACCAAGGAGTAGAACCTCAACTAGTCTTCTGTCATTTTAAGACCAATTGATGTTGAGCACAATTTCAACTTGTCAATCGTCACTGTTTTCGTTAACATGTCTGCTGGATTCTTACTGCCAAGAATCTTTTTAAGAGTTTATACTTCATCTTCTAGAAGAGACCTGATAAAGTGATAACGAATACCGATGTGCTTTGTTCTTGAGTGAAACGCCGAATTCTTTGCTAAATGTATAGCACTCTGACTATCACTATACAAAATATTATTCACTTGTTTGAACCCCTGCTCATCTAACAAACCTTGAAGCCATATCATCTCTTTACTAGCTTCGGTCACTGCCACATACTCAGCTTCTGTAGTGGATAAAGCAACAATCTTTTGTAGTTGGGACATCCAACTTACGGCTGTATTTCCAACTGTAAATACATAACCCGTTGTGCTCTTTCTATTATCGACTTCACCGCAAAGTCTGCATCAACGTAACCTTGTATTTTCAATTCACCTTTACCAAAGTACAAACACTTATTAATTGTACCTCGTAAATACCTCAAAATCCATTTAACAGCTTCCCAACGGACTTTTCCTGGATTGGACATAAACCTGCTTACAACTCTCACTGCATGTCCAATATCTGGTCTTGTACAAACCATTGCATACATCAAACTTCCAATAGCCGAGGCATAAGGAACCTTGGCCATATATTCTTTATCTTCATCTGTCTGAGGGGACTGATCCTTTGATAGACGAAAATGACTCGCCAACGGTGTACTAACAGGCTTAGCATCACCCATATTAAATCTCTGAAGAACACGTTTGATGTACTCTGATTGTGATAACTGCAAAGTGCTTCTCTGCTTATCTCTTGTGATTTGCATTCCTAAAATCTTCTTTGCTGGACCCAAGTCCTTCATGTCAAATTCCTTTGACAATTGATGCTTCAACTTTATAATATCATTCATATCAGAACCTGCTATTAACATATCATCAACATAAAGTAATAGGATGATATAACTGGATTGATATCTCTTGAAGTAGCAACAGTGGTCAGCGTTGCACTTCTGGAAATCTTCCTTGTGCATGAAGTTATCAAACTTTTTGTACCATTGTCTTGGGGCTTGTTTTAGCCCATATAAACTTTTCTTAAGTTTGCATACCATCTGCTCTTTCCCACTTTTTATAAAACCTTTTGGCTGGTGCATGTATATTTCTTCATCAAGATCTCCGTGAAGAAATGCAGTCTTCACATCTAACTGCTCGAGATAAAGATCTTTAATTGCAACAATACTCAACACTGTTCTAATGGTATTGAGTTTCACAACAGGAGTGAATATCTCATTATAATCAACTCCTTCTTTCTGTTGAAAACCTTTGACAACTAGTCGAGCCTTATACCTCTTGGAATCATCGTGCTCCTTTTTTGCTCGATATATCCATTTGTTATGAAGGGCCTTCTTACCTATGGGTAACTCAGTTAGTTCCCATGTCTGGTTTGAAATCAGGGATTGCATTTCATCTTTCATTGCAAGCCCCCACTTGCTAGCATCTCTGGTCTGGGATGCTTCATAATAATCTTCTGGTTCCCCATCATCAGTTAATAACAAATAATTCATATATTTTCTATTAGGCACATGTGGTCGAGTACTCCTTCTTAGTGTAGGAGTTGGACAAGAAGGTTGTTGTATGTCATTTGATTGCGATGTACTGCCCTGTACAGTCTGTTCTTCTTGTTGCGGAGTACTTATGATAGTGTACTCTTGCATCGTACTGTCTGGGACATAATCTTCATCAATGAATGTAGATTCTTTTTGATTTGTTTCATAACTCTCAATTTTATGCCTATCTTTGTACATGACTCTCTCATTGAAAATTACATCTCTTGAACGAATAATCTTTTTGCTTTCATCATCCCAAATGCGGTATCCAAACTCATCTTCGCCATAACCGATAAAAGTGCAAACTTTTGATTTAGGATCAAGCTTATTTCTGCCTTGATCACTAATGTGCACATAAGCTACACAACCAAATACCTTTAAGTGCGACAATTTGATCTCTTTGCCGCTCCATACCTCCTCTGGTAATTTGTACTCCAATGGGGTTGATGGTCCTCGATTGATCAAGTAAGCTGTTGTATTGACTGCTTCTGCCCAGAATTGTTTTGGTAGACCTGACTGTATACGAATGCTTCTGGCTCTTTCTGTCAATGTTCTGTTGTATTGTCAACCAAGCTCTGATACCAATTGTTAAGAAAATAATGCAAATTTTCTATTTAATCAAATTTGAGGGAGAAATAAATTACATAAACAAAATGTCTATTTATACCAAAGTGCAAAAAACACAACCCCTCTTTTCTCTGAGTTATTTTTCTTCTCTCAGATTTTCTCTTGAAATTATTACATACAAATGAAGGAAATGCTCAATTTATAGTTTTCCTAAAACAACCTAAGCCATTAAAAATTTAGCCTGCAATATTTATTACCATTAGTTATTTTTCCCTATATTTGGAAACACCTTTAAGAAAATAATGCAAATTTTCTCTAAAGCAACGAAAATAGTTGTATTGATTCAATAAGTGATCTTCTATCACTACTTTCCGCTCTAAAGCCTAAGGTGTTACAAGAGGTGTGGATTCCTGGGTCAATTTTACTGATTTTCTATTATTTCTCTGTATTTTATTACTTGCTCAATTTCTCAATGCGCGAAATTTAAAAATACATGGTAATACTTCAGTAGTCTTGTGTAAATTATTGAACCACTTTTTTTTAAAGAACCTGAAATTATTCTTACAAAATGGGGCCTAAATCGGTTAAAAAACAAAAGCAGCAGTAGTCAGTTACCTTCCTTTCTTCGCTGACCGATGATTGAGGTGATTCATCTACTTTCAGATGTAGAGATGACTGACTGCTGGGATTTTGCATATCCTTCAAGACAGGTCTTTCAGAACCAGCCATAGAGGAGATATATATCAGATTTTGTTAGAGATATACATATATTTTCCGGTATCTTATATCTCTATTAGATTTTCAACTTTTACTCGCCTCAACTCACTCTTATAAACTAACAGGATCTTTTTGCAGGGCTGCAAGTTGAACTCACTCAGCTTGACTTAAATAGGACATATGTTCCTTAGACCAATTCAGCACTAAAGGAAAGAAATCTGAAATTTCCTGATGTTTTTTTTTTTTTTTTCAAAACCAAACCACCAAGTACGAACTTTTACTCAGTAATTGCCTAGTATGTTTCATGTCTTTTTTTAAAAAAGCGAAACTACTATAGCATTAATAAAGAATTACAATTGACCTGAATGGCCCCCCACACGGAAACAGGAAAGAAAATTCAGGTACACTACTAATGTACTTTAATCACATACTGTTACATGATTCACATAAAAATAAAAAATAAAAAAAAAAATTCATTCTTGTAATAAAATTTTTCAGATATTATTTGCATATGTTGGTTGATCTTCACATTAAGAGACGCCCAAGAGAGCAAAAAAAAAACTATGAGCCCCAGACCATATCCATACGGCCATACCACATCGGTAGTGAACTAAGACTAAAATATGAATGAATTTTTCATTAGCACATCGTTAGTGAACTAATACACCCTTAAAAAACAGAATCTAATGTAAAATGTAGCAGACACACGAAATGGAGTTTTGATTAGCACTCCTTAAATATACAATTGGTTGGAACATCATGCATTTTGCTGAGGCTGTGATGGCTGATTTGCATCCTTTTTGCGGCTGCATCATGACTCATGAGCTTATGCATAGCTGGTAGTTCCTGCTCTATGAATATAATAGGTTTTGTACACTTTTTTACATAGTCCTATTCCTTTGTTATTACCCTTTTTCACATTTCTCTTAATTCTCTTCCAAACTTTTTTAATCCATCGGTTGTCACTAGCTTCACCTTCTTCATCCTCCCAAACACTAAATTGTGGCAGTGCTTCTGATTTTGCTGGTGTAGAAGAATCCAGAGTTGAAGGAAACTGATGAAGATGCATGTCTCCGTTCAACTATAATTCATAATTGGACACTATCAAGATATTTTTTTTTTCTAGCCCCATGAGTTATGCATGGTTGGAAATTAAAATGAAGAATAATGACAATACTATTATCAAGTTTCTTGCTTTGAATTTAACACAGTACAAAAAATTGGCATAATGGTCAAACTATACTTTCTAATAACCTTATCCTAACTAGCCTTAGGCCATGCTTGGATTAAGGGAAATGTATTATTAGGGTAATAAAAGTCAAACTACGCAAAATGAAAGTGAATACAGAAGAGGAGATAGTAATGATGTGATTGTAAGGATTATTATACATTTTTTTTGTATGCGGCCTGTTGTACCGTGCGGCAGGGGGTTACTTGAGTTTCTCGGTTAGGGGTTACTTGAGTTGCCGGAGTTTCTCGGTAAGGGTTAACTCGAGTTTCTCGGTTAGGGTTTACTTGAGTTGCCCGATTAGGATTACTCGATCAGGGTCACATACTCAAGTAACCCCTCGAGTAATCCCTCAAGTAACCCCTGACTGAGTAACCCCTCAAGTAACCCCTAATCGAATTTCTTAAGTAATCCCTGACTGAATTACTCGAGTAACCCCTGATCGAACTCCTTAAATAACCCCTGATCGAGTAACTCAAGTAACCCATGACCGAGTAACCCCTAACCGCGCGAGTAACTCGAGTATCCCTTCACCGAGTAACCCCTGTCCGAACCCCTCAAGTAACTCCTGATCTAATAACTTGAGTAACCCCTGACCGAACTCCTTAAATAACCCCGAGTAACTCAAGTAACCCATGACCGAGTAACCCCTAACCGAATAACTCGAGTATCCCTTGACCGAGTAACCCCTGTCCGAACCCCTCAAGTAACTCCTGGTCGAATAACTTGAGTAACCCCTGACTGAATAATTAGGGTAACCCCTAACAAAAAAAAAAAACTCGGGTAACCCCTAACAAAAAAAAAACTCGGGTAACCCTGCCACGTACATGATGTGACCTGATGCACCAGAAAGTTATACGAAATATTATGTAGTGATAGTATGGTATGAGGTGAAGAAAGGAGAAGTAATAGTTATACTAGAGGAGGGTGGGTAACTATTACGAGGGTAATAATTCCTCTATCTCTCTATTTTTCTCATGGCACAACTACTTTATTTCATTTGTAAGCACCTTGTCTCATACAACAACACATCTAATTACTTCTGTTTTTCAAGTTTGACTTATATTACCCCTTATTATATTACCCTCAATCTAAACAAGCAGTGGCAGATCCACGTTGACGCCTGGGGGGGCACGTGCTACCCCCTCCCCCAAAAAAAAAAAAAAAAAAAAAAAAAAAAAAAACTGTTTTCATGAAAAAAGCGCTCATTAAAATTATATAAAGATTACAATCTGTACTTATGTTAACTATCTTCAACATTGCTTCGGTGGTAAAGGGTTGTAAGGAGAGTCATATTTGTTTTCTCAAGGTCAAGGGTTCGAGACCTCTTGGCAGTAGATATTTTCAGTTAAAATTTACATTAGCATACGTGCACAAGGTAAATTTATAACAAAGTTTTCTGTAAATATTCATATACAATTTATCATAGTATAATCGATATATAGAATTTAAATTGTTTGGAAAAAAATATAAAAAAAAAACTTGTCATACGACTACGTTGCGTTACACCAATGTTATATTTTTTTAATTGTCCAGTGCTACCCCTAGTTAGGATTCCTGGATCCGCCACTGTAAACAAGACCTTAGGGTTTTAAAATTAAAATACAAGGAGCCAATCTAAAGACTACCTATAGGTCTGATTTTCAGGTATCGCTTCAAGATACTACATGTCCCTCTTCCTTTTGTTATTTTAAGCAAGTACATTGAAGAAAAATATGTAAGAGATATATATGTACTCGTAATGGAAATTGATTTTGGCAGACCCTTTATTGATTTTGGCACACCCCTATGTGAGAAAGAGCATAGAATGAAATCAATTAAGGGTGTGTCAAAATCAATTCCCGTCTGTAATATGTATGCATAAAATAAAGATTTATTACCATTTGGTTAGGGTGAACCTTCCAGAATGCAGGAGTGTCATTATTTGGGACTTGATTTATGTTTGACTGGCATAATAAGGAGAAAAAGAAATTAAGCAAGCAGTACATAATAAAATTATATAGAGGATACAATTTTAATGTGAAATTAAAGGCAAAGGCAACCGATAAGATTTGTGTGACACAAAAATGAGGTTACAAAACCTGTATAACGTTGGATTTCAAATGGTTAATTGTTAATCTTGTACCTCCCCCATAATCCCTATCTAGAGCCTGACCTCTTTCACTAATCAAATCCTCGTCCAATACAGGAAACCTTGCATGATTCAATTTCTGAGAACTGTGACCATCGGATATTACTTTCTTGACCACTTCGTGTTCATCTTTTTTTCCCTGTTTCTTGAATTGGCGCTGACAACCACATTGATAAGGTTCTGATGTGATTAGTAAATAATTGACAATTGAAGAAATTAGCTAGAAAACCATTTGAAAAATTAAGAAATAATAAGGAATGTGGAAAAAACCCACCCTAAGCAACGACAATAGTTATATTGATTCAATGAGTGATCTCTCATTAACTAATTTCCACTCTAAAACTCAAAACACTTGTCAATATTTATGGCAAAACTAAGCATCCAATATGAACTCTGTTTACTTTTTAAGTATTAATTAAATCCCTCTTTTACCTCAAAAAAAAAAAAAGGTATCAACTCACTTAAAAAAATCAGAGCAACAGACCCAACAGTTACCTTCCATTCTTCGCTGACTGATGAATGAGCCATTTCAGCTTCTTTCAGAGCAACAGACCAACAGTTACCTTCCTTACAAACTTACAGGATCCCTTTTGCATTAACTCAGTTTACCTTTTTATATATTCTCAGAACAATTTAGCCTTAAAGACTAGAGGAAAGAGATCTGAAATTTCCGATTTTTAACTTTTCTACACATTAATATAGAATTACGTGTACCTGGAAACAGCGAAGAAAATTCATATGTCTTTTTAAAAAGTGAAACGACTACAGTAACAAAGTGCGTCCACTTTAATGAAGCGCAATTAGCCCCACACGGAAACAGCAAAGAAAATTCAGACATAATGTAGTTTAATCACATACTGTTACATGATTCACATGAAATAAACATTCCTGTAATATTTTTCAGACATTATTTGCTTATGTTGGTTGATCTTCACTAAAGATTGAAAAGCAGCAACCACTAGAAAAATGAATTCTCAAGAACACAAAGAGTGGGTTAAATCCATACAGGAAAAACTCAATGAGGCACAACAATTTATTACAAGAAAATCATGGGAGAAGTGTTGCATATATCGAATGCCTCGTCGTATAAGAGATGCCCAAAAGAGCAAAAAAAGCTATGAGCCCCAGACCATATCCATAGGGCCATACCATACCGGAAGTGAACTAGTTCAGGATATGGATCTTTACAAGTGGGTTGCTCTGCACCAAATCCTACAACGGACCCGTCAAGACCTAAACCTTTACCTTGATACCATCAGGCAAGTTGAAGATCAAGCGCGAGGTTGTTATCAACAAGTCAATCATCTAAGCAGCAACAAGTTTGTAGAAATGATGGTCCTTGATGGCTGCTTCATCGCCGAGCTCTTGAGATGTTACCAGGCTAGAGACACAACAGGAGGCAACCCTGTCTTTGCTAATAAGAGAATTGTTGAAGACATTGTGTTAGACATGGTAATGTTGGAGAATCAAGTTCCGCTTTTTATAATTGACAGGCTACTTAAGCTAATGAACGGAAATCAGCACCAATATGATCAGGCTTTGGATTTAGTTCTCAGCTTCTTCAATCCTATATGGCTGACAGGTAATTTTGGAATTTCGCTTTTAATAATATTTAGAACATAGAGAAAGCCAAACATAGCAAGATTATATATGATACATCTTTTTTACATACTATGACAGGTATAAGAATGTCTATAAACGAGCTAAATGAACTGAACAGTTCACTAAAGCAGGAAGAGTGTCTTCATGTCCTTGATGTATTTCGGCGAAGTCTACTCCATGTAAGGCCTCAACAGCAGGATACCATTAATAAACACAGATTTCGATGGATGATATGTGATAAGCTTGTCCCAATGTGTTTGAAGCGGTGGCTAAATAAAGCCCCGGACAGTATTTCAAGCCGTGAACAAGTCTTATATAGGGTGACTGAGCTGAGAAAGGGAGGAGTAAAATTCAGGAAACGGAACACCAGCTGTCTTTTAGACTTCAGGTTCAAGAACGGAGTTTTTGAAATCCCTCCCATTTGGATACAAGATAGTACAATGACCATCCTCCTGAATATAGCCGCCTTTGAGCACTGTCATATGAAGATAAGTGATGCTGCGATTGCATCATATGTGGTCTTCATGGAATGCTTGATAAAATCCCCTGAAGATGTAGGCCACCTTCATCGTCGTGGAATCATTCTTGGAGATGATGCTCAAGCTGTTGACTTGTTCAAGAGCGTGTCTAAAGAAATGCTCGTGAATGTACATGATGGTTACTATGCAGATCTATCTAAAGAAGTGAACGCGTACTACAACCAGAGAAGAAACAGATGGCGAGCAAGCTTGCTTCAAAAGTATTTTCACAATCCTTGGTCTATCATCTCACTGGTTGCTGCTATCATTCTATTGTTTCTTACTGCGATACAGAGCTTCTATGCAGTTTTTTCATACCACAGGCCAAAATCTTCCAAATAGAAAAGATATATTCTATGAATTTCTGATTGAGCATGTATACAGCTTGTTATTATGTTTGTAATGCCATTTGGAAAATGTTATTGACTGAGATTTCTAAAGCAGGCAGTAAAATTTTAGGCGTGTTCAAACTGATAAATCTGAATCACAGCAAAATAGAACGAATGTCAGACTTTTGAGTGGCCTGATTCACTCCCAATTCAATAGTCTGGACGCCTCTCTTTGCCTATTCTCCCTTATTTATAACATATGCTGATTCTCGTTTAATTTTCCTCTACATACCGACAATCTTCCTCAAGATATAAGAATAAATAGATTGCACTACCTATAATAAATCTTCTCCCCTTTGCCAATTCCTAACATAGAAATAGACTTTCTGATAACCAATAAAAATAAGTCGATTAACCTAAGGATTAGATCACATCATTCAATCTAATTGTAATGGCCAAAATTAGTAGCAGTCATAAATCTAGGCAGAAGATCAAAGGATTGAAGTCGGCCTAGCTATTTTCAGGTCAACGACGAAGGGTTGAGAAGTTGAGAGCTGATATGTACTGAAAATCATAGTGTGGAACACAAGCAATAGCTAAGTACAAAAATCATTGTAAACAACCAAAAACTACGAACACATAAATTCGTACTTTCTTTGTGTAAAAGTAATTACGTGTTTCAAAACTAAAAACCTTACGAAGAGTGCAAAAGATGCAAATGTATTCAGTGAGGACATTTCAATATGAACCCAACCAAAAAAAAACAAACAAACAGAGGAAAGGAACTTAGTTTTTGAAAGCTGAAAGCATGATAAAATCAACAAACCCTGTGGTTAAGCATAACCATCTGAGCTGAAGATGAATCTGTTTGAAATCCCGGCATGGAAGAAGAGCTTGCTCCGCTTTTATTAAACTGTCCAGTAGTTGATGTCTTTCCACCATATACCAAACGGCCAACTGACCTCCTTTTGGAATATGCATTATCTAGCAACCTACTTTCACTGCCTGCTGCGGCAACCTCAGTATAATCTGATCCTTCTTTCCTCCTGAGAGACAAACCATCCAAAGTACCACCACCCAACTTGACCTCCATAGCTCGCTCATTATTGGAGAGATAATGAGACACCTCCTCGATCAAACGGAAAGCTATATCCTGCACACTAGTGTGCTCAACCTGATGGAAGATGATGCACCGGGTTGGCTGGTCCCATGAAGCGTGCAACTCTTCAGAAACCATCATCTTGCTCACAGTGCTGTAAATCTGAGCCTCTGAGAGGTCAAACATCTTAGACAGCCGACCAAGGCTAAGAGAACTGCAGTAAGCAGCACAGTAACTGCATAGATAAGTCCTTAAGGCAGCTTGCTTCATCTCAAATTTCAGCATTTCGAAAACAGTCTCTTTGTTTCTCAGGAGCTTCCATATGGTCAGTGATGTTATGACATCAAAGGCTTTTTGAAAATCGCCCTGATTAAGAGCTCTAGTAGCAGCCATAGCATGATCCCGCACACTTTCAGGTGGGCCACATAATGTTTGTCTCTCGCTAGCTTCAAGCAATTTACGGAAAGTCTTGCTTATGACCCTGTGCTGAGACTTAAAGGTGTTCGCAGCCATATTGGGGACCTCCAGCAGCATAGCACAGGTCAGATGAACTGCTTCCAAGAGTTCCAAATTGATGTGCATGTGATATGGCATCTGTTGTCTTCTTTCTTTCATTTCCTGTTTCAAGTTCAAAAAAAAAAATTAAGATTCATAATCAAGTAAAGAAATACTCCGTACTAGTAATATGCATCAAGATAGACAAGTAATATGCATAAAAATTGACCGAGTGTTGTGATATTATATAGCATTCTCAAGAACGAGAAAGAGAGGTTCATAAAAGACACCGAGGTTAATAGATATCTCCCTTGTTTCATTAAAGCATAGATAAGTCTCCCGGATGTTCAATCATCACTACAGCACATATATTTTCAGCCAAATGCAGAATGAACTTGACAGTTCTGCACACTATATTGGCAATTTGGCAGTATGATGATATCCACGTTCTCTATAATTTTTACTCTTATGCAAACAACGCTTCCATTACATATAAGAAAAGCACGAAGTGTAATACAGGAAATCATTCTAAGAGCAAAGTTCTAATCTACTAAAATAACTCAGATTGACATACAAAACCTCGAACCTCAATCAGTAATAGAAGAATTAAATAGTACTGGATTTTTATGGATTTTCTTCCTCCCATATATTTCAAAATAAAGCACTTGCTTTCTATACTAACATCTGTTGAACAAACTCCAAACTAGAAAAATCCACTTACTGATTCTTCTCTAAATTCCACAATTCACTGACCCACTAAAAGCATGCTAAAAGAGTGGCCTTTTGCCACATTCCAGTAGCATGATCTGAAAAGTCATAGGTGATTGCTTTCTTCTGTAATTATAATCAGACACCGCCAGACAATGAACCACTTGGGCACTTAAGACAACCAAAAGCTCGAGCAATGTTATCACTCAGCAGATACAATTAATAATTTAACTAACCCCGAGCCATCTCTTATGAAGATGGTCAACTTTTTAACCAACATTCTAGCATTATAAGGGTCTCTAAACAGCCAAGTATAGTCAAATGACCCCTCTTGTCTAAAACTAGCTCAACACCTAAACCAAATTTCAATTTGACAAATCCAGGCAACCAGGCATCAAACTAGATATGTATATGCAATGAAAATGGTGATAAAATACAACAAACAAATTAATCCTATATCATAGAGGAAGACACTAAACACTGAAGAACTCTAGTTACATATCCTCCAAAATATAGCTAAATATTGCAATAAAAAGATCACGACGACATCTGTGAACATAGGAATTACAGAAAGCAGTAGCAGTGTTGCACATGTAAAAATATTAAATCAATCATACCTGCTCTGGAGTCTTCTCATAATACCGGCTTTGAGATAATCCTTGTGCAAGAAGCTCTCTCCAGGGGCGGAGCTAGAAGGGGACGAGTGGGGACACTTGTCCCCCCATTTTCAAAAAAAAAAATTAAAAAAAAAAAAAAATTTAAAAAAAAAAAAATAAAAAAAAAAAATGCAATTACAGATTTACATTACATGCTCTGTTGCGTTGCGACATTTTCCAGCCAGCCAAAGCCAAACCCTAAGTTTTTCAATTTTCAATTTCTCTCTCTTCGATTCGCCCTCGCCTGTCGGCTAGCCGGCTCGCCGTGACGCCGTCCACCGTTCGCCGGCAGTTCGCAGCAGTGACGAGGTTCAACAGCCGCCCTTGAGCCTTCGTCCTTCGTGTGTTCGTGACTTCGTCTGTTCGTCAATCGCCTAGCCGGCTCGCCGTGACGCCGTCCACCGTTCGCCGGCAGTTCGCAGCAGTGACGAGGTTCAACAGCCGCCCTTCAGCCCTTGAGCCTTCGTCCTTCGTGAATCGTGACTTCGTGTCTTCGTGACAGCGTGACTTCGACACTTCGTCTGTTCGTCATATGCATTTCAATGGAGGTATGAATCAATGAATGTATGATTAATTGAATAATTGATTACTTGTTTTGTTGTTTAAATGTTTAATTGTTTAAATTTACAGTAAATCTGAAATTCTGAATTTCATATTTTTATTACTTGTTTAAATGTTTAATTGTTTATATTTTTATTGTGAATTTGTCATTTGTGGCCTTGTGGGTATTGATTATTGAATAATTTGAATTGATAAATGATTATTGATTTATATTTGTTTGATTGTTTCCCCTGTTAGAGTTTTTGGTTGTTTTTGTGAAATGTGAATTTAAATTTATTAATTATTGTAAATTATTGAAATGTGTAGTTGAATTAGAAATTTAAAATCTTAGCCTCTTAGGTTTTGTTATTATGTAATGATGTGGATTGTGGTCTTGTGGAAATTGATATATAATTTTCGATTTAATTAGGAAATGTCAAACGATTCACCAAATTCAAACAAATCAAAGGCAACTAAACAACCCGATCTTCGACAATTCTTGTTTAAAAGAACGAAACTCAATGAAAATGAGTCCAATGAAAATGAGTCCAATAACTCACCTTCATTTAGCTCCCCTCAAAGTCAAGAAAATAGTATGGAAATGGGTGGTTCAAGTAATAGTAATGTACCATTAGAGGAAGATTTGGTGTATGATGTTGAACTTCTTCCTCATGATCCGGGAAAAAGAATAAACATTATGGATTACCCCGCAAATGAACGAAATGCTGTTAGGAGGGGTTATATTCTTAAAAAACCTTGCCAACCAAAAACATTATGGATTACCCCGCAAATGAACGAAATACTTGGAAATTTGTTGAATGTGGTTGGAGTTTCTTGCAAGAGAAGAGAAATGATTCGTCAAGATCAAGCTCAAGAAGTTGCTCGAGCCTTGGATGTTGGGGATATTGTGAGTGGATCGGGTTTAAATCAAGAACTTGGTTTGAGTAGGCCCGGGGATACTCGTTGGAGTTCTCATTACAAGTCACTTTTAAATGCCATCCTCTTATTTCCTACAATTATTAAGGTGCTTGTACAAATTGGGAAGCATGGTGCATCGGAAGATAAGTTCAAAGCTCAAATTGTTTTAGGACAATTAGAGTCATTTGACTTTATTTTTGTTGCTCACTTGATGTTGACTATTTTTGGATACACTAATGATTTGTGTGTTGCTTTGCAAAGAAAGGAGCAAGATATTGTAAATGCCATGGAACTTGTCACTTATACAAAAACGGTGTTGCAAAAAATGAGGGAGCGAGGATGGGATACTCTCTTAAACAAGGTAACTTCATTTTGCACTAAACATGGTGTTGTTATTCCCACTATGGATTAAGACTAATTGATTTGCATCTTCAAGAACTTGATGAACGATTTAATGAGAGGAATATGGAGTTACTATTATGTATGGCTTGTTTAAGTCCTAAAGATAACTTCTCATCCTTTGATAAAGATAAGGTACTTAAACTTGCCTCTTTTTATCCCGAAGAATTTTCAAGCTTTGATTTGATGGCTCTTGAATATCAACTTGATGTATTCATGGAGAATATGCTAAATGATGAAAGATTTCAAGGTTTAAATGACCTTAATTCTCTTTCTATGATGCTTGTTAAAACCAATAAGCATAAGACTTTTCCTCTTATTCATTTGCTTATCAAGTTGATGTTGATTCTTCCCGTTGCCACGGCAAGTGTTGAAAGAGTGTTTTCTGCAATGACATGTGTCAAAAACAAGTTGCGAAATAGCATGGGTGATCAACTTATGAATGATTGTTTGGTCACTT